CCGAGGTTAGTCTATCTAATCTATTAATTGCTGATAAAGAGGCATGCGTGAGTTACAAGTCGCGTGCTGTGTAATGTTAATCGTTAATGAAAGTATCCAATCTTGGTTATCGCCATTCAAATGCGTTTGTTTTTGATGATAATTATATCCTGTGTTTGATAAATGTTATTACCGTTGCCTCCGAACAAGGCATGCCCCTAGCTCTTATGATTAACCAAGGACATTTGGTCGGTATACTTACTTGGAAGATTAATAACATTAATGTCATATTCCTCCTTTCTTCTTCCGACGTAAGCTATTAAAATGTCTACTACATGATGGAGGGTTTTTGCACTAGCACACTAATTTTAATTCCCACTCGTCGATGACCAAGCTTAATGTATGTTGACAAACGTTCACGAATGCATTTCCTCCGAGCTATCAAGCTCCTTTGCATGCTCCGATAGAATATATAATTGTAACAATCGATATCGTTTATGAAAATTCCGTGACACATGAGATTATCTTACGTTTGTTTATTATTATTGGCCATAATTACAATGAGGATTTGAATTATAAAAACGAGCGTTGAGCGCCAAACATCCCGCTAATAAATATTGACAGACCATAACTTTCTCTTGCCTACACATTTCCCGTTCACTAACCAACCAGATTATATACTAATGGGCATCCAATACGGAGGACGGAGAGGTGAAGTAGGAACTTGTTTAGTTAGGTATATAAATACAAGAAATGTTGACGCAGCTATTCGCTACAAGTGGATTGGTTATTTGCCATTCGTCATATGCTATTGGAGGAAGGAAGAAGTATGTTTCAATTATCAAAAGGTAAAATTAGACAATGCATTGCCTTCTGACAGTGACCTTCTTTGGAATGCATTATTATGACAATAATTATGCTTTCAAAGCGCCAACTTCGGCTTACTTATGTAACACAACAATTTAAATCAATACATTTAACGCGGAAACTCTCGATCCATCATTCCAATACATTACTATTCACAATGTATTATCGTGTATATTGGCTCTTATGTATTAGCCATTATAGATAAAAGGCCTCTCATCAACAGGATTTCCTTCAAAGGACGCCTTCAAAGGACGCTGCTAAGAATTTCTTCCCTTTTATTAAATTTAACTATGAGTGATAATGATGATTTCCCCCTTGGATCTCTAATACCAGTTGGTTCGACCACCAATGTATCTTTTATTTTGGGACCTGTTACAGAGGTCAAACTTAATGAGGCCGAACAGACATATTGCATAGAATTTGGTCAGAACGCCATCCAGATCGATATTCCTCCGAATTCCTCCAATCTTTCCCAGAACGCCAATTGCTTCCTCCTGTTTAGGAGTTTGTTCACGAAGGCTCTATACGAAGAAGCGGGTATCGATTATTCGTCACGCAACAAACGGTCTATTTGTTCTACCCGAACGAGAGAAGCTTGGAGTAAAGCGGGTATCGATCCGTCACACAACAGACGGTCTATTTGTTCTACTCGAGCGAGTGAAGCTTGGAGTAAAGCTCCCGAAGAGCTAAAAGAAATCTTTAGAAATCTTGCGAACAAAAATAAGCCTTTAAGAAAAAAGCAAAATAGAAGAACAGAACCCCCCACAGAATTCCCCACAGAATTCCCCACAGAATTCCCCACAGAACCCCCCACAGAGGCCCCCACAGCAGCCCTCACAAACCAATTTTTCGTGACCTGCAATTGCGCGACGACTGCACCATACCCATACATCTCCGATGGAAGCTTCGTGGCTGGTTTGTCGTATAACTATGTATGTCCAAATTGTCATCAATTTATTGTGATACAAGGTAAGAATGGTTGGTTATTTAAACCTGTCATTAATGCGACATGAGCTAAAAATTATTTCCTTTCAGCGATCTCTGTTCGGCACTCTCAAGACTTCCTTCCGCCAGATCTATAACGCCATCCATCACGGTCATCGACGCAATTATCAGCTTCAAGAAATATCTTCTTCGAGTTAATAAGACCGGCGGCGTCGAGAATTGTTTCTGAACTGTTTCATGTTCTGTTTAATATTAGAGCAAAATAGAATGTTGGTGTGTTATCGGGTTTATTTAATATATAAGTTAATTAGAAGTTTTTGATATGAACAAAATTAGGTCTAATTTGTAAGTTTAATAAATTTTATGTTGTAACCAATTCACCAACTGGTTAATGCTCCTGCCAAATAGGAGCGCTTTCTATTCGTTCTTCGTTATTATTATTGTAATCTTCATTTTGTCTTGAGATTCGTGTCGCATGTGTTGTGAATTAGATATTGATAGCTCGAACCTGAGCCACGTTACCAATATTATCAACAAAGCTATACTTGGTATTAACATGGGATATTCAGCACAACGTGTATATATGCAGTTTAATCGTTTACGTGTACAGATCTATGACAACATATCCTTCATAATCGCCCTTTCCTTTGCAAGTTCTGTATTGATAATGACGAATAATTCAATCGTTGACCGGTAAACCGTTAAATTTCCCACCAATTACCCTTTCCCGCTGTTCGTTAATAGCAGATCAAAACTCGTTTTTATAAAATGTTCCAACCGCAATAAATGCCATTGAGACGAGATCATCATCCAATAGAAGCACCGTCTACGCTAATATCTCTGTCACCCACGAAATCCGTTTTGGCCCATTCGGGCAATTCAGTCTCGTACTTCCAACCGTCACCTTCATATTTCAAAGCATGTAGCCAAATACAGAGCTGATGTGGCAATGGATCATCAAACTTTTGGTTTGCACATTCTTCACAGTAATCTTCGTTCAAATAATGTGTTCCTTCGTCGCCTACTGGGGTATCGCTCGTCTCATCTTCATTCCGTTCGCCAGCATTGTTGGTCTCGCTTATAACAGTTTCTTTGTCGTTTGTTAAATTCGTCTCCTCGCCGGTTTCCGAGTTTATTACGATGGTCTTTTCTTCGTCACCCAATCCTTCTCGCATAAAATAGTCGATTACTCTCGCCGTGGTCTCCTGATCAAACCCTCCCTTGCCCTTAGATGCACCCCATGCACTTGGATGATTATACAGTGGATCATTAGCAATAGGATATCCAAGGTACTGGAGATGTACGCGTATCTGGTGAGTACGGCCCGTTATCGGTTTGCCTGATAAAGAGCCAACGAATTAAGGCATAGTGTAGGAGAAGTTGTGCGCGGGTTTATCGGATGTTTTACACGTTAAACTGAATATGCCACGTTTACGCAACATCCATGATAAAGGATACATCTGACAACGGAAGTGTGTCCATTGTAATGAACTCTGTTGAAAACGGTCGTGCTAGGCTTTCCGTCTGAACTGACCGAATTTAATCCCAGTTTATGAGAAACGCATTTGATAGGTTGGTCGCATATAATCTCTTCACTGATTGAGGGATAATGCTAGAAAAATTGATATCATTTACAATTGTCGAAGTAAACGGATTATGCAAGGCAACCTGTAATACATTTGGTATTCTTACGTTGGAAATTCGCCCAATACTCGGCACACATATTCTTTCCGGACATTTCGGGAGCGTATCTGTTCTTCCAATTCTCGAGCTTTCTGCTTGTTTATTGCGATTAGCGTTATTCCCGAGGTTAGTCTATCTAATCTATTAATTGCTGATAAAGAGGCATGCGTGAGTTACAAGTCGCGTGCTGTGTAATGTATGTGCTTAAACATGGACTCACTGTGAAGAGAATCTAATTGATGTTCTTTGCGTAAGATGTGCAGGACGGTATTGTAGAGATATCTCCCACTGGGATGAATCTACAAGTCGATTAGTCATCAACAGTTGAAAAAGGAAAATATTATCCTCATTAACATGAAAACCACAATATTCGTTGACTGCAAATTTCAGCAACTTACCGGTATGCTTCCTGGTTTGTTAATGACAATAAGATCGTCGTTTTTGCAAATAATCTTAATCTTCTCTGCAGTGACAGGTGGCTCATGTCTATGGATCTTATGAGTGATAAAGTCTTGATTCCTTAAAATCGTGTCTGTTGAAACCGTCTGATTGTTGACAGTTATGGAGCCTCTTTTTATTGCTCGTGCCTTCAATAGTTGAACGACATGTTATTTATTAATGCTACGCACGAATAAGAGTTACCCACCATATCATCATGTTCTTTATGTACATAATATTGCGGTGAGCGGTCTCTGAACTCGGTAGTGAATACATCTAATATGGTCCTCCCGATCCACCGTTTTTTTGTAAAAGTTCGATATTCGTAATAATACGGCTTCACTTTACGAAGATCTATACTCAAATAAAAGAAATTACAAAAATATTAACGTTAATAATAATGACAAAGACAGTCACGTATAACCAATTTGAAAGGGTTTGATAACATTCGACTGGGTGTCAAATCAAGCTACCGTTTTCAAAGTAATATTCGACTTCCTCTATGTTACAGATATCCGAAATGTCTTTACGATTAAGTTGTTTATTGGAAGAAATTCTTAACTTCTTTCTAATTTCATGTTCAGAGGTATGATATCTGTGCTTTGACGGAACGGTACTAGTAGTATCTTTGACAAGGATGATAGCATTGTCGTCTATCGAAGAGGTATCAGAACTCATTTAAAGTTGAAAATTCAAAAGTGCACAAATTTTTTATTTCCGTCGTAGTTCACGTGATAAAGTTACGACTAATTGCTAAGTCATTGGTCATAATGCGTGTTATTGACAACCGAAAACGTAAAACGGTTACTACTTACTAATGCTAATGCTGATGAATGCGCGCTTGAATGTGTCAAATCTGCTGTGATTATAACTATAGTGATAAAGTCAGTTATTGCATACATCAACTTTGTCTCAGTCCAATAAAGTCTCGTAAAGTTCACATGATCCAGCTATACGATTGGCTGATATTTATGTAAAGTCGCAATTATCAACAAACAATGGCCGAATGCGTAAATGAGCATGCTATGCGAATGTAAGCTTAAAAATTAGTAAAAAAATTTTCAGTTAATGTCGCCCGAACAAAGAAATTAGCAGGGTTTTCATATATGCGAGAAGAAACCTGTTGAAATGCAATAATTAAGTAAATCAAAGAATGTAATATAAACATCAATGTTAGTTCACGACTTTAGAGACCTAACACACAAATATAAACATCAATGTTGGTTGATTATTGTTCTCAATAGCTTCATACCGGATAAATATAATTGCTGTTTGGATATGTGTTCAAAGTTTTATAAACAACATATTAATCAAAAGTAAAAGTTAATGTTTGAACCAGTGTAAGGTAAAAGTTCTTATTATTATATTTTTTGATAGGCTACTAAAGCAAATTCAAATTACAAGGTTGATCCATTGTCATAGAAGCCATCAAGTAAAATAATATAAAAATAGGTTGAAGAAGTGCATATTAATTGTAAGCATATATTTCTTATGGTTAATAATAACGTATCTTATTCTAAATTTTATAAAATAACAACTTTCCCTACAGGCATATAATTAATTTAAACATAGTTTATAAAATTCTCTTTTCTCTCCTTTATTGCCCTCTCCTTCTTCCTCTTCTGCTATTCCTCCTCTCCCCTCTTCTTTGCCCTTGGGCAACTGGATCTTCATAGACCCAGTCACTCTCTCTCACCATCCTTTGCCTTGTAACAAGTTCTCTCAATTGTTCCAATGCCCGCCGCTCAGTCTCTGGCACTTGGTTCCACATTTTTGATGCTAACCTCGACAATCTAATCATGTCTAACTGGTAGAGATCGCAATTGGAATGTTCGCACGAAGGCAACAAATCGCGATACTTCTCGGCCCATCGTCGTATAATAACAAACCTATTGGGACAAATGTTGCCATGACAAGAAGATAGAATGTCTTGAATAGTCCAGTTACAGGTGAAGTAACCCCAATGTGGCCAAATAACTGAATGAAAACATCTAGCCGTCGTAATGGTAATTTCTACCAGAGGGTGTTCTATTCTGAGAGATACTTGAGTGGTTTCCCGGGCCATGCCAGATTTTTTCCTCTTAATAATAAATAATCGATAATATATAACGTATGGATAGGTAGTGTGTTGTTTTGGCCTTTGGTTAATGTTTTTTTACGTCTTATTTAATTTTATATACCGTAGAAAACCTTTCAAGTGGTTTTCGCGGTGCAAGAATAATAAACCGCGACTCTTTAATTCTTTTGGTTTGTTAAGATTATAGGCAAGTATAATCAGAGAAAAGGGCAAGCTCGTCTATTTATCTAAAAACAAAATGAGTATCGTCGACAGAGTAACAGCGTTGTTTTCATTCAAAAGACAAACCGCATACCTTCAAAACTATTTCGGTACAAGTCCGTCGCCAGTCCGTGACCAATACACCAATCAGAGATCTTCTTTGAGACTACATTTTATTGGATGCTAATCAAATATTGGTTGCATAGCAAATCGTATGGTGAGTGACGCTTTGAAGTAAAAATTTAGAGTTTTGCTCAGAGATAAAAATAGCCGTTAACCAGGCTTATCAATTTAACTGTTAATCAGGTTTTTGTAATTAAATTGAATAAGCTCATTTCACGTTGTTATTACCGATTCTCTTCATGACCATATTTGACGTTTCGTTACAATTGCAAACGAGAAAAGATCGATATTATTAATCGTTTGCATGGAAGAGTCATTGCGTAAAATGCAAGGAGTTGCATTCCGGCTTTGTATTTAACAATTTCGTGGCGTTGTGACGTAAAGACTTCATTTTAATAAGCAGCACGGTCGTAAATAAAATTCGCCAATCGGAGAGATTTGTCGACGGATGCGATGTGACATAATACCGATAGTCCTAACAGTCATCTTACATCACAAAGTGTCGAAGCGCCGAACACAATTGTTGGTAAAGTTTGTGTAATAAGCGGTTGGCTGTAAGCCATCGGGACAGTGCGCCTATGCGCAGTTACGCCTCTTTACGCAGTGTCTGGGGAAAAAAGAAGCAATTGAAAAGCACGTTTGTAATTACAGATTATCATATTATAATCGGTAAAGTAAGGGGCTTACACAACGCATAATTAGCATTTAAACTTGTGTAGCAAAAATTTACCTCAAATTAGGAAAATAAAGGAGAAGCTGTTTCTATGTACTGTGATCGAGCCAAATGCAAAAAAAGAATGTAGAAAATCAAGTTGTTTACAAGATAAATGGTGCTTTGACCAATAGTACCAAAAATTAACTCGCTGGTTATATTAAACCGAGCGATTGCGAAATTATTATTGCAACATTTGTACATTTAATATACGTATATAATAGGTTAATGCACGTTAACCTAAATTTATTTATAAGCACCCTTTTTTAATTATTAATGCATTCTTTGTATTTTTTTCTTAAATAGCATGTTAATATAGTTTATAATTGTTCAACATTTAATAAAGTAAGAGATAATATTTTGCTTATCCGGGCCATTTATAGTAACACTGTATAAATTATTTCCTTCTCAGTAATAGATCTGAATAATGCGATAGGTTTATTTTTCTACTGTTTGAGAAATAATTCACAATGTTTCCCTACCGGGTTAGCGAATTAACATCATGTCGCATCTATGTTTACTGTTTATCTCGTGTTACATCTATTTGCAATTTCATTATCATTGTTTCTCATTCAAATTTACCCCCTGATTTGAAGGGGAGAGAGAGAGGACGATGATCCCGATGTCTTTTTTTGTACAGACATACAATATTAATAAGTAATTATTAAATAAGTTATGGATTCTGACTAATAATAGTGTTCTGGCCGGAAAGTCATGTCGGATTTCTGTCATTTGATGTTATGCAGGAAGCGAAGCAATGCATCGGGGCTACCGAATGTATCTCTCAAACAATAATGCAATATTGTTTGATGCATCTATTGTCTTACATGTACCAAAAAGGACTTTCTTCTTTCAATATGTTGTAATGTTTGGCTCTCGCGATGCATCGTTTCGCTTGTTTAGGAACGCGAAACCAATTTGGGAAAAACTAACACGTGTAACATCTATCACATGACGATAATCGTACGCACTGACGTTGCTTGTATGACTTACAAATGCAATACTGTAATATATCAAACTATTACCTACTACTACTACTATTTCACTTAGCCTCAGCATTGCGAACATTAGCACTAGTAACACACACTCTTTTTACTACAGACCACAATTTCACCCCGCATTTCTTTCTCATCAGAGATTAGTTGACGATATCTGCACATTAATGTCGATATGTAGAGTTTATTCAGATTATTGCTTCATACGTCAACAACACAAACACCAACCTTTGCTTTCATTCCAGACAGGCACGCTTATACCATGTTTCACATATTTTGTCCACCATTTACTGTAATCTGCATCGCTTACCTAATCTTTCGTAATCTGTCATTGAACTCGGCAATTGATCTTACGACAATCAGGGTGCAAATCCAAACCTTATGCAATTACAATGAAACAATGGAAAACAAAAAGGGAAATTGCGAACAAAAGACCGGAGTCGAAACAACCCCAACCGTATTGCGAAAATAGAAAGTGTCCCACAAGAAGTATTTTTCCATTGACATACATGTATATCGATTTTGTCTTACAGATTACGTTATCAATAATGTTTCCGTGCAATTTTGATTCGCTGATTGCATTTTGAATACAAAATATAATAATAATAACTAGGATGTAGTTATTCCGAGAGAGTACGGGTTTCGGATATACTGGAGTATACTCTCGATATAGCCTGTTTTGGTCGATAATACACTCATTCCAAGCATCCGACATGCATCTGTAGTCAAATGCAAGGTAATCAAGAGATCGAAATACTCAAGGATTAACCACATATATTCCCGACCTACATTTATTATATAATAACCTTATCAATTATACTTATCATTATCAATTATATCTTATCGGTTTACTGCTTGCCCAGTTACATACTTTACCAAAAAAAGAATTATACTTTTTTTTAGTATTCTACATTTACTATCTTAATTTGTGACATAATCCATATAAGTTAACTCGTCCCAATAAAGGAACACTTTTTGGCAAACTAATCGGCGTACTGAACGGCGTACTAAATGGCGTACTAGAACCCGAATAGTTACATTTTTCCTGATATTGTTATAAATATAGATCTTTAGTCATTGATACAAAATTGCCCTCTCAATATCGCCCTCAACGTTGTCCGTTACGATGTTGTTTACCGCATTGTTATATCCAATATTATGCCTAATTTCTTCTGTTGCCCGTCTTTCTGCAAGATAATTTCCATTGGCAGAATGAAAAAAACCGGTTGGTATTTGCATGTCGTTGAGTAACTGAGCAGAAGGCAAGCCCATACTTTCTCTTGTTTCTTCGTTTACACTCCATTGTATTGGCTGGTGAGCCAGCGCGCTAAACTCAGAAAAACACGTAAATGGCTCTTGATAAATTATCGGTGAGGTTGATGGAAAATAAGTATGAACAAAGGGCTGCATTTGAGTTGTACGGACATAAGCGTCGTGTTGAACATACGAGGTAGGCGAGTTTACTGATTGATATACAATTGGTGTGCTTGTTGATGGTAGATTCGATGGTACAGCATGTATTGCCGTAGTCAGTTCATCGTTGCACGTAGTGTTAATAAATACGTTATTTTTGTCGCCAGTAATTTCCGTTGTGCTCTCTTTATTTGCAATATTGTTTGCCTCTAGTTTTTCCCCGTTCATATTTTTTCCGTAAGCCTTGTCTGCTGTTTCACCCCTTTTGACTTTTCGTACTTTTCCATTACCACCTCCATCTTCTCTAATAAATGAATTAATATTAACCGGTATCTGTTTCTGTACTTCTTCCCTCCATTTATCCAAGTGCCTTTTAACACGATTGTTAGCGTACTGCCAGATTTTCGCTGCAAGCCGTGATATGTTTCCTCGGTCAGGATTATACAACGTACAAGCCTTGTGCATACATCGAGGCAAGTGCTCTTTGAAAGCCTGAAGAGAGACACGAATAACCAGAAATCTGTTTAAAGCAACTTGTTTGTGGCAACGTGAAGCCAGTTCTGAAACAGAGAGTATTGGAAAAGCGAACGTGTGTACTGTAGACTCGCACGGTACGGTTATTTGAAGGTTGGCATTAGGTAATAGGGAACAACAATATCGTTTATCGTGTGAACACATATTAACCAGAGGTAATAGAGAGAGGTATTTTGCCACTAAAAAATATACAAGAGTTTAATAGTCCTGGAGACGGATATAAAAAAAAAGGGTAGGAAGGGAAATGGTATACTGGGATTGTACTTTACAGTTTATATTTAAGAACGGAGTTTATTAAATGAGCAAAGTAAACCTTAAATGAAAACCAAATGTTTTTATTTTTAACCAAGTCAAAAAGTGTTAATAAATCATATTAGCTCATAAACCAAAAAATTAAGTCTTAGTTGTAACGTTTTCCCCCACTTCCGTAATGTCACGGAACAGTTTTGCGTAGAGCAAAGTAAAACTCGCAGGAATTCGGCCTTCAAATATGACTATACGCGAAATGTTGTCCAACATACACTTGGTAGCAATGTGTACGAAAAATCAGGATTTGGATCGGGTGCGAAGAATAACGTTTGATCCGTGAAGATAGGGGCAATGTACAATGCTGCGCGTATAGTGAATAGTATCGTAACATGGGACATCACGTGGAAACTGGTGATATGATTGATAAGTATTGAACCGCAGATAAGGAAAGTCCAAATTTTAAAGTAAATGGAAACATATACTTGCTATAGAAATATTCAATCAATTGACTCATTTACATGATTATCATCCCGCGCGTGTTACCGCGTGCGCTGGGCTTCTTGGTATTGTGCATATCTTTACCTATTACATGCTTTCAGGTCTGTGATTCGTAAACGATTACTCGGTAAATACTTCAAGACAGAATTTGAGAACTTATAGAAGAAATGATTGTACAAAGTTGGATTCCCATTCCCACATGGAAGGTGGTAAAAAAAATCAGCGATGAGATTGATAGAGCAGATTTTCATTTGTTCATAATGGTCACTGTTTTGTCAACAATTGCTATTGTCAGTTTGTGATGCCTTCCGAATTGTCCAGAAAAAACTATGATTTGCAATCGCAGGTTCGTTGGCTGCGCCATGCAATTGAAGCAAGGTGTGGCGTTTATATGTTTGTTTTGTACTAAGCATCTCGGGCTAGACCCCAATTAGTAAGCCAGCAGTCCCATGATCATTCAGAGTTCCCTGAATTGATCAATAGCGATGGAATACAATTGACAAAAAAATCCAGCCCTGCAGCATGCCATATAAGGACTAATTGCCGCAAAAAATATTTTACATCTTTTATTACATAAAAAGTGATTACTATCATGTAATACATTTTTATTTCGTTCCAAAGTTCTTTATTATCCAGTTTGATCCGTATTAGTATTCGTGCATAACGATAGTAAATACCAAATAATGTTATACCACACACTCGTCATTATTCTCAGAATTAAATGACGTATGATTTATTTTTAGAACTGTTGCGCAAAACGTTGAAGTAAAATATGTGATCAAACACTGTACGCATAATAAAAAGCAAACTTAAATGGGAAAGCCATATTATTTAATCGCATTCATTTGTGGAAACATGACGAAAGTGAACACGTTTTTGGTAAAGTGCGAGCGAAAAAATAACACAGTGAAACAGACGTTACAAAATTTCCAAATTATTTATGCGGTCTTACATTAAACTGGCTACAAATTATCTGAGCAACAATTAGAGCCTCATTGTTCAATACTCCTAATATTTCACATCCATTGAGGTTTTTGATTAGATATTATTCGACTTTTGGTAAAGTAATCGTGTACAGTTATTGTCTCGGAGACGTAGTGATGAGTACTGACAGACACAATATATCGACTGCATAAATGTTATGTCCAATCGCGCCGCCACTATTAAAGAGCTAGCAATTGAGTGGCTTGTGCGACGATGTTTTTTAATTTGTACAGTGGCTAATTCCCGAAATGTATCACTATTTAATGTGTTACATTAGAACCTTAAAAATCAAATGACGCTTTTGAAGTAGCAGATATCCTTTGTCCTAGAAAATAGCATCAAGTGGATTTGCTCTTACAGCGGCTAGAGACATATAATTTGACAGCATTAATTACTGTATGTACCAATTAGCGGTATGTGAGATGCTCTTACTAATTATTAAAGAAAAAGTCGCTGTGTGCATATTTAACATGCATACATCTTCGTCAGTATTGTATTGGTTACATACACTATAAAGTCTACGGGAAGAAAAAATTAGTTGTCTTTTCTATATTTTGCGTTTCACAATAGGCGGAGCATCGAATGTTAAATGCGTAAAGACAATAGTTTGTCCACTATAATAGCAAGAATTAATAATAATCATAACAAAAGGTCAACATAATACGATAATATAAACGAATAAAAGCACTAGTGTATTGTTAGTTATCTATTTGTAAACTCTGTAACAAAAATTTGTTAACGGATAAATAGATTTGAGTGCTGTATAACAAAGATAAAAGGCATATCCGTGTCAAGTCTAGAATCATTTGTTAAATATATATATATATATATTGGAGACTAAGTCTTTTTTTTTTCTTTTAGTATTCTGAAAATACACTTTAGATTTGTTGTCAATTATCAAAAAAAAAACTTTTTTTTTGTCTAGCAACTGATATAGTCGTATTTAAGATAGATTGTTTTGGTCGGAGTTGTAAAAATAATGATCAATATCTACATCTAGTTTTCTACCATTGTACACATTTTAGTTTTTCAATTAATAATTAAATGTACAAATGCGTAAAGCATTTTGAAGAGCATTGCTCAGCCCTAATTGTAAACAGAACACACTCACGCTGTAACATCGCGTAATCTGAGCAACTAAATTGTAATTGGTCAGGACAATACGCTTTAGCAATGAATGTCATTTCCTGTCATACTGTTCGTATTCATAACAGTAAAAATGCACTATTTTTTGTGCAAGAAAAAAAGCCCGTTATGCATAATTAAACTTTTATATCGGATATAAGAAACGGTTCGTAAGTTGTAATTCTAAAAATTGGTACGTATCTAAGTGTACAAATATTTAATATTACACCGCATGGATTCGATTCAGTATCCAACAATGTTTGACCCAATTCATGCAGCTCAAATGTTCAATGACTTTTTCCTGGTAGCTATTGTTTATGCACATTAACAATTATTAAGCATCAGGTGAGGGGACCAAAGTGCGTATTACATTCGATATTTTGACAAAGTTGTGCACAACTTTAATTAAGATGCGAGCCATTTTACGTTACTGCTTTTAATTAGACACAAGCTTCCTTTGGTCGATATTGTTATTTAATTGAATAACATTATGTCGTGTTTCCAATAAGATCGGAAGATTAATTTGTACGCTTATATAGGAAACTTTTTTTTCTACGTGTAAAAAATTGGTTTTTTTTGTCTTGGATTATATGTACAAAACGCCCAATATTTGCAATTCTATAATCTTAAAGTGTGCTCCGAATATTTGCTTCTTCTATATACATGTTAATTTTAACCGCAAGAGTTTCTATTGCCTTTTTAGCAGACTCGGATTTTTTCCGCCAGGTCTTGCTTGCAAATTCGCTAATATAGCATTGAAAGCCGCCATTCTGGAACTCTTTTTTCTTGTATTCTAGATTTTTGGATAAGAGCGCGCGATACACCATAAATAAATTAACACGCTTCGTACCCCTCCCACGTTTTCGCCACATCTTAATCATGTTAAGAATATCTTCTTCCGATGGCAATTCGAGATAAACAATACAGTCTTTATAGTCGGCCAAAATTACGCCATTGATAATATCGAGTTCGGCCTTGTTGTTTTTGCATGCGTTGTGTGTGCGAATGGGAGCATTGGTATATACAACGATAGCATTAATGTTACTATTTTCTACTGGTACGCTGCTTGAGCCAACGTCATTAATAGTTTTGTTAAAATAATTGTTAATGTAGCTGTAACTGCTGTAGTGATGGTGGTGGTTGTAATGGTAGTAATTGTAACTGTTGGCATAGGCGCTGTTTCCGCCATCGTTGTTGCTGTTGCCGCCATCGTGGTAATAAATGTCATACTTTGAAAAGTGTTGGACAAAGTAGCCAACGTGATTGGGAGTGCAACTGAAAATGCCATCGTTATCGCTGCAGATATAAAAATCTTCATGGTTGGGATGCATATTGCACATAGTTATGGAACTCAATTCTTCATCGTTCTTCACATATCGTACATTATGACTACCACTGTTGCATCCGGAGATGTAATGTAGGCTTTGCTCAGAGGAGCGAGCGATAAAGTAAAGAGCATTGCCAATGTGACAAGAGCTGGATGTGTTGCAATAAAAGTTGAAGTCTTTGCCGTTGTTTATGATATGATGTTCATTGACCAAGTTCGAGCGGACATTGGGATCAGAACTGTGAAATGTCATTGTGATCAGTTGAAATGCATTCCCTTACAAGCTGTGGGCAACAAGTTTAAAACAATGTACAATTCAGTGAGATGCTTTAGTAGCCTATAATCCTATATTCAACGGTATAACTGACAAAATATAAACTCACCAAATAATGTGGTGAGAGAGAACGCCGAGATGCTCATTAACACCGTTGCGTGCTATTCCCTGCTTTCATATTTCATTATTTAACGCACCTTTTTAGGTAACTTCGGAATCATCATTCCGATCTACGACATACGTACTGCGCTGGCGTTGTACTACTAACTATTTACATCAATATAATCACACCTTCCGGAGAACCCAGTCGATGCTGCGGTGGAAACCACTGTTTGGATTTGGTTGTCAAGAATGGAGAACACGTTTGCTGCTGTTGTATTTGATAGTGTTTAAATTTGCCCTTAGCAAAACCGACCATTTTAATAAGCAATATTAGAAGCATGTTAGTTCTGGTATTATCGGAGGCAAAATTACTGAATCTAAAATTATCTGAACAAAGAGAAAAGATCTCCCATTTGTATTAGACAGTACGACAACTTTGCACTTTACTGGAAGAACAATGTCTATTGTTGACATTTTTTGAGATTGTTAGCACATGTAAAATAATAATATTGTCCAAGTACTTACTTATTATTACGATATTGTTACTAATGCAAGTATTACATGGGGCGCTCGCCCGCATCAATGTTCTCATTCCACAAGGTTTAGTTCAAGTTTCATTTAAAACGGACAAACATTTATGCTATCAATCAATCACTGATGACTTGGTTGTGCAAGCTGACAAATCAAGTAACAATGTTCGAATTACAGGAAGACAAATGACAAAGCCAAACTTGTTTAGAAACTTGCAGACATTAATTCATTTAGCATGCTGAAAAAATGCAAAATTTTAACAGCAAACTAAATCAACGTTTTTCGAAACAATGTTGTCCGTCAATCGCTTGTACAGCAATACAAATGTGGCTGTTCTCACTTTTCCTATCGCAAGATCGGCTTTTCGTCGCGTAAACCCGATATTGATAATAGTAACGCATTATTGTTTTGACATTGATTAGCCAATAAATGATTAGTGATGGTACTGCATTATAATGTTTATCAATCTTTATCATCGCTTTTACGAGAAATTTATCATATATAAATTGCATTAAACTGAATAAGGTATCACTTTGAGATATCTTCCGAGGTTCGACTATACATGAACTAGCGCCATCCGTCATTGGCTAAAATAAACAATACGATATAATATTACTATTACACAACGTCATGACTAAACACTCGGCTTTTTAATACATTACATCAAATGTTCTCCAAATTTTGTTTCTGTATCATTCCGTATTGTTACATTCAAAGACGAGTAAGAAACATTTAAAGACAAAGGCTCTTTCTGGGACTATGAAAAGTCTTTCCAGAGTCGGCAGAATGTCTGCAACGTTGAATGGATATTAATGAAGAGGCACTTTGAGGAAGTTAGATGGTCGAACCGATAATTATTATCAATTTTCTGGAAATAAAGGTCTACACGCAAAACTTTTCACCCCCCCCCCCCCCCCCCCCACGTACTCTAAAATTGATGGTTGCGTTCCGTAAATATAAATTATGTTCTGTATGAAAAATTTATCTGAAAAAAAATGTTATATCGCTTGCATATTTTATGTAAACAACAACAATTTTGCATCATTTGGAGATAATTGATTACAAGCTTATCGAGGAAAAAAAGTTAAGTTGAACCAAACCGCTATAGAACTGTAGGGTGGCACGCAGCAAACGGAGATTGCGGTTCCAACCGTTAAACGAGTTTTTTCAATATTTGACAGAAGACAAAGTGATGAACCTTAGTTGGATCTGTCTCAGTTCTGGACTGAGACAACTGAGTTTTGGCTGGGTTCGGGACTGAGACAGGTGCCGAATTCAGGCACAACAAAAATCAATTAATACAATTTGATTGGCTTCTCAAATCTTTCTATTCCTGACTTTGCATTATGCGTGTAATAGCTGTTATATCAAAACATATTTCCGATAGAATTAATATGTATTTTTTGCCATATGCTTAATCGAGAGATTACTAACAAATTACGGCAATTTATTAAGTTTATAAAAAATTTCGTACCAAGCTATATTTGTTTTATTGTTTTTACAATGTTCAGATGTGTTCTACCGCTTATTATTATAAGCTAGTTTCGTAACAATAAAAAAACTTTTTATTACCATTTTATTCAAAGAGTATAACCAATTAACTCCAGTTACTTGTTAATTACATATTATACATTAACAAATTGCAAATGCTCCAAGCAAGTGCATTTGTCCATTGTTTCTTTACTAATTCTCATGTACTGTTTAGAATTATTCAAGGATTAGAGTAATTCGGCAATTTTACGTTAAACAGTATATGGTAAATATTGTGTTTCCATGCTAATATATAAATGAGTAAGAAATTTCCTCGTGTTGCTTGCGCCTGTTTTAACACCAATTTATAATATGTTAATAACATTATAATTAATATTTCAGATCGACACATATCAAGTTATGAAATAATTGCACCAAAATTAACTGCTCTATGCTTGCCAAATGTTCGCATTAGAGTTGGATTAACTATGATCGTTTGCTTCTGATCGACTGATAATTTTTCGCTCGAATGTAGATTTAGATTCACGTACTTGATACAAACGTTTTCGCGGACAAGCAAGACGACGACGACGACTGTTTATTGAAAGCAAACCTACTGTATAATGTTAACTATTAACGCCAGCAAACGAACGGTGATGACTTTTAAAAGAAGCGTGCGCAACAGACGAGTATTTTGAAATTTGCTATTGACTATATTATTTGGACTGCAAAATTTTGTTGCTTTCCCGGAAGCTTTTGTGGCCGAGATCTATAAATAAAATTGGTTTAAGAGTTGCTTTTTTTTTTTTTGCAATGTGTGTGGGCTTACAATATACGTTTTGTCCGAATTCGGAACTTGCCTCATTTCAGAACGCAGTTGGTTCAGCCCAGAACCGAGACAGGTTTCCAACTGAGGTATAGAATACCGACCAGCTAATGAAATTAATAAACACAAAATTTTGGATATAATTTATTAGAACGTAATTTTTACTAGAAATGTAGTGTCCATTATCAACTGCAAATTTTGTCTGGTTAAAGACTTTATCTTCTTTTATTCTATCAGACGTAAAATTTTATAAATTTTTTATTCTATTATTTCCTTTTAGGCTCCCTGATGGCTCGAACCGAGCCTTTCTCTTTTGCTCTTCTAAATTTCTGCTGTCTCTATCAAGGGGTTTGATAATTTACTGCATTACTAAAAGAAAGTTCCGATAAAGAATTTTTTTCAAAAATTAGTAATCACGTTACATAGTCAATTAGGCAATTAAGACCGATTGGATAATTATAGTTGCCCGATTACTTGACTTAATGGTTGATAAATTTTTCGTGCATCATAAATTGTTTATTACATACATAACATTAGATCTACTAAGCCATAGCAAAAGTTCAAATTTTTATGTTGTAAGTTACATTATTGTAAAAGGATGGCCTTTATCGGAGATTCCGAAATAATTCCTTGGACCAGACGTAGGCAAACGCCCGATCCGTGTGAGTTCTTAATCAATGTAAGAATATTAACATTCGAAACTGAACAGCAGGTCAGGTATAATCATGCAATATGCAAATATATGCATTGCTTCCAGTAATTTGTAATGGTTCTGGTAAACTCGTTGTGATTATATGTTCACTGTTTTAAAATGTGCAAATAGATGGGAATAATAATTGGCCGGATTGGGCGATCCGCGGGCCCAGTAAATCCCGATATCGCAATAATTGGCGAGTAACCACAAATGGTCGTGATATAATAGATTTTGGGTCATCAATGAGATCCCTTAATTAATAGATGCAGATCTCCGCTCGTTAAGCATTCAATAGCTTTTGTGAGATATCTTTGACATAACTCGCAGCATAATCAATGTTTACCCGTTTACTCCTGCATGAATTTTTGTTTCATTGACATTGAAATTTTCGGTAAACTTTTACTTCTTTATTCATTTGAATCATAGCGTTGTCGTTGAGAGGGAAAAAGAAGCAAAAATAATAATTAATTAAACCATCTAGACATTAATAATAAACCAATTAAATGGTTGACAAAGTCTCACTAACGAAATGATGAGATCACTTCTTCGAAAACTGTGGGGAGTAATTGGCTTATCTTGTTATTAATGTTTAGATAGTGTGTCGTAAACCTGTCACGAAATTGATTGGATGATAAAAAGAAGGAAGCGTTGGTAGTAATATTTGTTCATAAGTTGTTGTCCGATTGTCCAAAATCTGTGCAGGTGGTCTTATTGGTGAAGTAACATGTCCATAGTGTGAGTTTGATGGTTGATATAGTGGTGGTCTATGAACAACGTAGGATAATTCATGCTAAAAAGAGAATTAGATAACGTATTAATATGAATAAAACGTCAATTAATTATAATTTAAATATTAAATGCGTGATGCTTTTTTAAAAATAAAACATACAAAAGGTCGAGGTGACCAAATACCCGATACATCAGCACTGGATAATATCCTAGTCCGAGTATTGTCTTGAAATGCATTGTTATTAAAAGTATTATTTTCATTTATACCATGCAATTGAAAATTAGACTGGTGTGGATATGGCCGGTAAAGTTGCTGAAGCTGCTTATCCTGCTGGTGCAGTTTGTCTTGATTTTTATTATATCTCGCAGCTGCAACTCCTTCATCAACCTTGTTAGTTTTGCTTTCGGAGTTAATCCTTTTCATAAGTTCATTGGCCCTTTTCATATCATCTTCACTATTTTCATTAATTTCATTAACCACCTTCACTTTACTCGATCTCTGCCTTTTAACCTTCTGAATTTGTGATTGATTTTGTTGCCGTCGTCGTTGTAGACCGGGATTAACGTGTACAAATTTCTCAGCATACTTTGACCACTTGGCTTCAACGTTACTTCTTAACTTGGCAAAAAAAGATTTTATTTTGGCATCTTCGAATACTTGACTAGCAAGTTTGGATACTTTTGTCCAGTCTGGCTTGTGTAGTAAACATTGAGCGATATGGCATTCTGGCCACTCTATCTTGGAATCATTGAGTGACATGCGAAGAAGGAGAAAGCTGTTCGTACAATTATTACCGGAACAACGGCGTATAATGCTTTCTGAAGAGAGAGGGCGGAGACATATGTCGTGTACGCAAATATTACTCCGAACGTTGATACATATAGAGTCTATCCATATATATGACGCCACAGTCTGTGGAAAACGCGGGAATGGAGGAGATGGAGGAGGAGTAGAAAGTGGCGGTGAAGAGGGAGTTTCGGTTGTCATTGGTTGCTTTGCTGACAAGCTGTTTACGATGACGTGTTTACGTTATGTTGTTTCTATTGTCATAGGTTAGGAAGTATATGGATAGACTTTGAAATAAAATGAGGTTTATCCTCAATGCTCTGCTTGATTAGTAAACCTCGACAAAATTTTGCATAATACTCTGAACATGCTCACCACCACGAGTCTTATATAGACTTACATCACACTGCTATCGCCGTATACTAATACGAGATCCATGGCCTAGACCTTTGAAATTCCTGGATTTAGTATAGTCAATAACGGGGTACAATCGGTCAATCCAATAACAAGTTTGTTTGGTCAACGAGCATATTTTCAAATACAATTGTACCGCGTTGGTTCGAAGCATACTATTGGATTTTGTCATAATCCATTATAACATCGGAGAAAGGGTCAAGTGTGTCAGTTATAATCGTATTCAATGACATCTTGTGTATATGTATATCCATAAATGAAATGTAAATAATCTCTCGTTGATCTGTGATTCATATTATTATTATATCGTACAATCTCAATGTTTCCTGACATCAGATTAGTGTACACAAATTTCTATTAATGTACATATTTTTCACTAACTTGTTTAAGCAATCAAAAATTCTGTTGATTTGATTATCAAGGGAAACTGCACGTTACATTCATAATAAACGATAAAGACAACGACGAGATCAAATTTATGACCATGGTGCTAGTTTAAGAGTTAATTGCGTAAAGAAAAAAAAACGCTAACAAGGTACCTGAACGATATAAAGCAATTTGCGAACAATATTGAAAGCAATTTTAGACAAGTTTTACATAATCATACATATTTCCCAATAAATGTTTCCGCGGTCATCTGCCAATTTTTTTTAGCACCCCTTGCAATCACTGAGCCGTTACAATTAGAGAAATTGAGTCGGTTTCTATTTTTAAATAATAAACTTTTTTTTATTCTTCGTATATTTTCAATTTTGCTCACGATCGAACTATTAAGGCTGATTTGCGGTAACTCTGCTTGGCTGTATATATCATTAATGATTAGAACCCAACCGGTAAGGTGCAAAGTGTAAACATATTTGGGAGGGGAAAAAGACTCGATAGATACCATATGGTTACTAAAAGATTCAATATTTTTGTTACTTGCGAACATGGAAGAACGCTAATAAGTCGGTAATATTAGTAATAAAAATAGAAATTTAAAAGACATGAATATCACTTTGTCGATTATTAGCAAAACATATGAAACATTTCTGCTAGTCTTTCTTAGGTAAGCAGCTGTGACCTTGACTACCTCGAAACCTATAATCAATGCTTTTAGATGATATTGATATTCAAAGAAAAGTTAAGCCTAATACGCCTTGCCTGATGGATTACATTAAAAAAACAATAGACGCAAGAAACTGACGCAATTGTCTATAAATGGTAGTAATCTTTTCCTCTTTCTTGTTACACATTAAAATGGAAATCTGAGGACTCGATGTCATGTTGCGATATAAGCTTTGATAATAACGAATATGTTTGTTAGAATAAATTGCTGGCGTCTTTTACCTGACTGGTGTGTGATGCTTTTTTGATCATACAATTACAGCTAACTAATAATATATTTTGCATTTACATACGAGACAAAATTAAGCAAGATTGCTTAACCCTGTAGTCGATCGAGATGGTAATAATCTAATCAAATGATAAACTTTGACAAAGTTGTAATTTGCGTCTCGGTGTTAATATGATAACATTAATGTGATGATTATACCACTCATTGATGAGATTAAGTGGATAAACAGTTGCTCCAATAGGACACAGGTTCCAACTGACGCTTGTTCTTATTAATTAATTTGTGTTATATGTCTTTAATAGCTTTCCACGCACTCGTCAAGGTTCTGAAAGTTTATTTATGGCTTCGAACAATAAATAAACACTTTCGACTATTAAGAATACACAGTTGCACAAATACGCATAACTTTCTGCATTATTTTATACGCTTGTGTTATTTCTATATCAACGTTGTTGACTTCCGTCTCTGCTTATACGTGTTTGTTGTAGTTTACACATTTTGTATTAAAAAGGATTCTGTGAGACAAGTTGACAACGACTTTCTGCGTGGCCATAAAGACATTATAACTGCATGAAAAAATCTAAACTTTTATTAGACGTAAAAATAATTTTTGTATTATCAATACTTGATAGAGCTAACGAAATATCATGAAAGATGCTAGACCGTGCAGAATGCCAAGCATCTATCCGATCGCATTTACTGTCCGAACACATCGAGTCTTACAAATCGGGTCCCAAATTGCAAAGTATTTGTTCAGATGCAAGTATGAAACGCGTGCTAGTCATTGTGGTTATCATTGTCATTTCCAATAACGGACTTGGCAATTAAAAATTATGTAGCGTTAAGAAAAAGATCGGCTCATGTGAGAACCCAATTGCATAGACTAATTTTGGTTAGATTTACATGCGTTTGAACTTGGGGAATTGCAATGCGAACATTAATTTCTACAGGCCAATCAAAAATGGATGTGTTACGGTGCAACAAATAATATTTCCACAAATGA